GCAGGGGAGCAGTTAGGTATCGATCAGGCTGGCAGGGGAGTGGTTAGGGGGTGATCAGGCTGGCAGGCAGAAGCAGTTAGGGGGAATCAGGCAGACAGGCAGGCGAGTGGTTGGGAGCCAGCAGTCCGGATTGTGAGAGGGATGTCCGACTGTCAGTTTAGGCCCAATCCCACAGGGACCTAAATCCATGTTGAGCAGTCGGACAATCCTGAAGGGTCCCAGAATGGACAGGGTGCAGGCTGGGCTGAGGGACAACCCCCCCCCCCACCTGTCCCAGTGCATGAATTTTGTGCACTGGGCCTCTAGTATAAAACAAATAAAGAAATGAGGAATCAATTACTAATTTTCATTTTAAACAATAAACACTGAGCCCCCAAAATGCAATTTTAGGAAAAAACAATGCACTAGCATTTTTGTACCAATTAAAACTGCAAGTTCTTGACATTTATAATGTTTGCTTCTTGAGGTCACATTGTTCAACTTTTCAATAAAATAAATTTAAAAGAGAAAAGCATTTTTAAAAAGTTTCAATAAAACTTGCCTGTGGCAAAATGAGTGAAGATAATTGTGATAGATAAAAACAGAATTTAAGTATCCATTTTGAGAAAAATAAGCAATAACCAGGCTACATCCTGAAGGTATACTGGGCTGTTTGGCAGGAATACCCCCAGTCTGTGCTAACACACAGATCTGATAGGCTCATTATGAAGAATACAATCTTACAGACATGGAGTCTGCCTGCCAGGTCATCCCATGGTACCGCTGTCGTGATGTGTCCATGGGTCTTGTCTTTAGTTCTATTCACTTCAGTAAACAAAACGCTATCAATCAATTTAGAGATGTGGAAGAATATTGTATGCTGGCAAAGATAACCATGCATTTCTCTTTTGTTTCTTTTCTGTGCTTTTTTGTTTTGTTTTGTTTTTTAAAAAATCTTTATTGTTGAGAGTATTACAGCTGTCCCCCTTGCTCCCCCCCCCCCCCACACATTGCCCTCCTTCACCCAGATCCTATCCTGCTCCAGGCCTTCACCACCCTATTGTTTGTGTCCATGGGTAATGCATATATGCATATTCGTTCTTTGGTTAATCTCTTCCTGTCCCCTTCTCCCCTCTTCCCTCTGAGATTCATCAGTCTGTTCCATGTTTCCATGCCCCTGGTTCTAATTTATTCATCAGTTTATTTTGTTCATTAGATTCTTTGTTTATTTTGATTAGATTCCATTGTTGATGGATATGTATTGTCATTTTATTGTTCACATTTTTAATCTTTTTCTCCTCCTTCTTCTTAAATAAGACCCTTCAATATTTTTGTTGTTGTTTATTTTGAATGTCCTTTGCTACTGCCTAAAAGAGTATAGGGAGGTTCCATTGTGTAGAGATGGCACCCAGCTTTGTTTGGAGCCAGGGAAGCCTGGGTTGGATCTCAGTTCTACTTCACTGTATGAATGGGAATGTGCCTACGAACTTTTATGGACTCTAGTTCTTTCATTTATAAATTGAGAGAAATAAGATTACATGTTAAATGTTTGTAGTAAGATAAAGATAAAACCATAGGAAGCACTGAAGAGCTCCTAAACTAATTAAATGCTAGTTTCCTTCTCCATGTGCACCTGTCCACACATCACCGCGATATGAATGAAAACAGAAGAAATGATGAAAGATGTCAGTCATTAGTTCTAACCAGATGAAAGGGACAGTGGTTACTCTCCCACTTATCAGTTGTTACTACGCATAGTTTTAATAGCTCTGTGCCTCAGTTTCCTCTTCTATACAGTAAGGATAATAGCAGTAAGTCTCCAGAGGGCTATTCACAGATGGAATACAGTAATATCTGCACAAGTCATAAAAAGAACAGTGCCTGGAATACAGTAAGTGCTACAGAAGTATTGGCTATCACCATAACCATCATTATTGGCTATGGGAGAATATAAAAACCTACATGTGTAAAATACATGAACAAGGTATTTTCTGGGCACAGCCGCAGTCACTGGGGCTTGAGGAATTGTCTGCCAGGAGTGTTATTTTTCAAAGAGGCATACATATTACTTATTCTAAAGTATTTGGGGCTAGAGCAATGATCTGTTTCTTTTTTTAAAATATATTTTTATTGATTTCAGAGAGGAAGGGAGAGGGAGAGAGAGATAGAACCATCAATGATGAGAGAGAACCATTGATCTGCTGTCTCCTGCAAGTCCCCTACTGGGGATGGAACCCACAACCTGGGCATGTGTCCTTGACCAGAATCAAACCCGGGACCCTTCAGTCCACAGGCCAACACTGTACCCACTGAGCCAAACTGGCTAGGGCTGTTTCTTTAAACAAACACAGATCAGGCATAACCCATTCGGGCCCGTGAATCTAGCTGGCCACTGAAAAAATAAGTTGTATATTAAGAAATGTCCCTACATTCTCATTACACTCAACAAATCACAATGAACAAACACATCCTTTTCACTGGAACTGAATAGACTGAATTCATCTGGAATCACTGTCCACCCATATATGTTGCCCCTTCCTACAGGAAGGTCACATTATTCAGCTCCCTCAAAGTCAGCTTGCCCCTGGGATA